TTGTAAGTAAGATTAGGGCTGCCGCGTCTGATTTTTCGTGCTCTAGAAATGGTCTGGAACATGTCACGCGCACGGAAACTTGAGCTGTGTCAGCCTCATCGAAAGCAAAATGCGATACTCATTGTCATCGGCGTGGCTGCTGAAGGCGGATCTGAGGCGCCTCGATGGGTTCCAAGCCAAATGCTTGAGAGCAATCCTGCGCATCCCATGATCATACTTGTCTCGGGTCAGCAATGCAGCTGTGCGCCAACAACTGTCCGACCTCATCCCGGAAGTGCACGTCCAGCTGATGCAGCAAGTCTTGACGTAACCAGGAAAGAAGACATCGACAAATGTTGCATTCCAAGGAGGCACCATGACACCGGAAACGGCGTACTACGTGCGCAGAGTGGGGCGCCCGCGGCAAAATTGGACCGAACAAGTTCTGGACTTGGCAAAGAGCAGATCAGTCATGGAGAGATGTCTCTTGCTCCTCCTCCTCCTCCTCCCCTTCCTCCTCCTCCCCCTCTTCCTTTGCCTTGCGCAGTTTTGCGGTTTCACTGCCCATTTCAAAGAACGCCTAAGGGCCATGAATTGCCAGTGCGCCACGTGGCGCACGGTGATTTGTTGTCGTTGCTGCTGCTGCTGCTGCTGCTGCTGCTGTTGTTGTTGTTGTTGTTGTTGTTGTTGTTGATGATGTTGTTCTGCTGGCTCAAGATCCCTGACAAAAGCAATGCCAAAAACACTTATTGGCAAAATCTGGATCATGCGCGGGCGTTCTGCGACCACTTTGCATCGGTTTTTGACCAGGGGAGGCGGGGGTGCTGGCATGCTGCGTGATGTGTGAAGCCCCACCAGACATCACGATTGCCACTCCGCCGCGATTGTGCGCTCGCTTTCGGCAAGGATTGTGGGGGGCGACCTGCTTGCCGGTGTGCGCGGGCGCACCTTGGCACACTCTGCGCGCGCCCCGAACGCGGCGTACCTGGCGCGGCTGGAGCAAGCAGCACCCTCTGCGCCCGTGAGGAGGGAAGGGGGAGGAGGAGGAGGAGGAGGAGGAGGAGGAGGAGGAGGAGGAGGAGGAGGAGGAGGAATGCCTGGCACGCTTGGGCCCCGGGGACGCCCGGCGCGCCTGGCGCGCGTGGCGCACCTCGCCCCGGCGTCGCGCGCCCGGGGTCTGCACTGGCTCCCAGGAGCGGTCCGTCCAGAGACGGCAGCTGGACGTGCCGAGAGGCTCGGGCACTACCTGCGTGTTGGGAGGGCGGGTGGGAGTGAGCCAGACAGCCTGCCTCTGGGAGAGGTGTCTCGATCACTCCCCGCGTCCAAGATGGCCCAAGAGGGCCCAAAGAGGGCCCAAGGCCAAGATGGCCTCCGAGATGGTCCGAGATACTTCGAGGTGGCTTAATCTAGCTACCGACATACCTACGAGGTGCTCCAAGACAGCCCTAAGACGGCTCAGGTGCCCTCCAAGACTTCCAAGGCACCCCCCAAGAGGCAACAATCCGTCGAAAACATAGGAGGAATCCATAGTTGCGCCTTCTTTTCGCATCCGACGGGCCTCTGATGCCTCAACATTGCCCCAGGATGGCCCAAGAGAGCCCCAAGAGAAGCCCAAGAGGCCCGCAAGACGGCCCCAATAGCGCCCCAAGAGCCTACCCTTAGGTCGGGCCTGTCCCCCATACAGGGGGACTTTGGACGAACATAAAAAACCCAAACATATTCAATTATCCCGGCAAAGCAACCTAACAGCGATGTGTAGGAGCATATCTGGAAGCATTCCCCTTAAGATTCAGATAAGAATCCTGTTGTAGAATTCTGCTGTTCTCGCAGTCGTGGTCGCATTCGCGATGGCAGTCGCAGTGGCAACAGCAGTCGCAGTCACAGCCTCAGCCCTCAGCCTGCCTCAGCCTCAGCCTCAGCCTGCCTCAGCCTCAGCCTGCCTCAGCCTCGCCCTCAGCCTGCTTCAGCCTCAACATCAGTCTGCCTTCAGCCTCGGCCTCAGCCTGCCTCAGCCTCACCCTCAGCCTGCATCAGCCTCAGCCTGCCTCAGCCTCGCCCTCAGCCTGCTTCAGCCTCAACATCAGTCTGCCTTCAGCCTCGGCCTCAGCCTGCCTCAGCCTCACCCTCATCAGCCTCAGCCTCAGCCTCAGCCTGCCTCAGCATCAGCCTGCCTCAGCCTCAGCCTCAGCCTGCCTCTGCCTCAGCCTCAGCCTGCTTCAGCCTCAGCCTCAGTCTGCCTTCAGCCTCGGCCTCAGCCTCAGCCTGCCTCAGCCTCAGCCTGCATCAGCCTCAGCCTCAGCCACAGCCTGCCTCAGCATCAGCCTGCCTCAGCCTCAGCCTCAGCCTCAGCCTGCCTCAGCCTCAGCCTCAGCCTGCTTCAGCCTCAGCCTGAGTTTGCCTGCAGCCTCGGCCTCAGCCTCAGCCTGCCTCAGCCTCAGCCTCAGCAGCCTCAGCCTCAGCCTCAGCCTGCCTCAGCTCAGCCTGCCTCAGCCTCAGCCTCAGCCTGCCTCAGCCTCAGCCTCAGCCTGCTTCAGCCTCAGCCTCAGTCTGCCTTCAGCCTCGGCCTCAGCCTCAGCCTGCCTCAGCCTCAGCCTGCATCAGCCTCAGCCTCAGCCTCAGCCTGCCTCAGCATCAGCCTGCCTCAGCCTCAGCCTCAGCCTCAGCCTCAGCCTCAGCCTCAGCCTGCTTCAGCCTCAGCTCAGTCTGCCTTCAGCCTCGGCCTCAGCCTCAGCCTGCCTCAGCCTCAGCCTGCATCAGCCTCAGCCTCAGCCTCAGCCTGCCTCAGCATCAGCCTGCCTCAGCCTCAGCCTCAGCCTGCCTCAGCCTCAGCCTCAGCCTGCTTCAGCCTCAGCCTCAGTCTGCCTTCAGCCTCGGCCTCAGCCTCAGCCTGCCTCAGCCTCAGCCTGCATCAGCCTCAGCCTCAGCCTCAGCCTGCCTCAGCATCAGCCTGCCTCAGCCTCAGCCTCAGCCTGCCTCAGCCTCAGCCTCAGCCTGCTTCAGCCTCAGCCTCAGTCTGCCTTCAGCCTCGGCCTCTGCCTTCAGCCTCAGCCTGCCTCAGCCTCAGCATCAGCCTGCCTCAGCATTCAAAGTGTGGCCCGGGAATGGAGTTCTGGGAACTCGAAGAACACGAAATGGCCTACAGTTGGCTCCGGGCATTCAAAATCATGCCCAGGAATGGAGTTCTGGGAACTCGAACACCACGAAGTGGCCTACAGTTGGCTCCGGGCATCCAAAATGTGGCCCGGGAATGGAGTTCTGGGAACTCGAAGAGCACGAAGTGGCCTACAGTTGGCTCCGGGCATTCAAAATGTGGCCCGGGAATGGAGTTCTGGGAAGTCGAAGAGCACGAAGTGGCCTACAGTTGGCTCCGGGCATTCAGAATGTGGCCCGGGAATGGAGTTCTGGGAGGTCGAAGAGCACGAAGTGTGTGACTGTATGCGAAAAACGATCCCCCCCGGCAAACCCCAACGGCCCCCCAACGGCTCCCCAACGGCTGCCCAGACCCCCCTGTGGAGTAATGTGCTGCTCTCTTTTTAGTCTATTAGAAACCTATCAGTCTTCGCTGTTAGGTAACAAATGCTAGAAAATAGTCCAAACATGGCCCCCTGACGATGTTTTGACAATTCTTGAATATTCCTCCTGTCAGGCCCGACTTAAGACTACCAAGAGGACCTCAGTAGCCACTTCTGCAGCCTTCGGGGGGGGGGAACGAGGAGAACGAGGAGGAAGAGGAGGAAGAGGAGGCCCATGGACGAGGAGGAGGAAGAGGAGGAGGAGGCGGAGGAAGAGGAGGAGGAGGAAGAGGGGGAGGAGGAGGAGGAGGAGGAGGAGGAGAGGAGGAGGAGGAGGAGGAGGAGGAGGAGGAGCGAGGCGCGAGGAGGAGGAAGAGGAGGAGGAGGAGGAGGAGGAGGAGGAGGAGGAGGAAGAGGAGGAGGAGGAAGAGGAGGAGGAGGAGGAGGAGGAGGAGCGAGGAGGAGGAGGAGGAGGAGGAGGAGGAGGGAGGAGGAGGAGGAGGAGGAGGAGGAGGAGGAGGAGGAGGAGGAGGAGGAGGAGGAGGAGGAGGAGGAGGGGGAGCGCTAATGAAAGCCTTGCGCCTTTTGGAGCAACGGGGCCCAAGATCGCCCCGAGAGGGCGCCAAGACCTCCCCAAAGAGCCCCAAGATGACCCCCAGAGGGCCCAGTAGGCTTCCGAGATGGCGCCGAGATGGCTCCAAAAGGCCTTCAAAGAGGCCTCCAAGAGGCTTCCCAAAGGCTCGCGGCGCGAGACCTCCGCGAAGGCTTCATGGTTCACTCGTGGCTTTCGTCGTGGTCTTCAGCTCGCCTGTGCATCGTACAGTGGAGGCCAGTCCATAAGAGACCTTCCACAAGAAACCCAACCTTGAGACCCCAGGACGTCCATGGATTTTTGGCGTGGGGACGCCAAACTTCCCATCGCAGAAACCATCGAGACCCAAGGAACCCAGGGCACCCTGGAGGCAAGCAGGGTGGTTCTTGGCATGGGTCTCCACTGCATCTGGACGGGCCCCTTGCAGCACTCGCTGCCGCGAGGGAGATGAGCACGACACCTGGACGTCCGCGGAGGGCCTCCGCGCCGCCGCCTGGGCCGGACGCCCTCCCGGCGAGGGTTCGTGCGCCGAACCAGCGCCCCCCTAGCGGGGACTCCACTGACGGGCACCGCGGCCAGCGACCCGGCGAACCCAGCCCTCCCCGATGTGGGCAGCGCTGCAGTGCCAGAACGAGGCCCACAAGTGGCAGCTGTTGGCAACTCTCCAAAGTGCCTGTCCGTGAATACTCGTTGCGGTGCCGCTGGAATACGTAAAAAAGTGGGTTGCAGATTATTTGCACGTCGTTCATTTCTAATCGTGCTCATTTCTAATTGTGCTCGTTTCTACTTGTTCTTGGCCCCTTAGTGGCCAGGAAGAGGCCCAGGATTGAACAATTAGAAATGAAAGCATCTTTGCCCCCCCAAAAAAATCACAGAACTCTCGAGTACTTGGAAATGAACAGTGTGTATATTATCAT